GGCCCAGAGTTCAAGCCCCACAATCGACCAAAAAAAAAAAAATTCTGTGATCTGAAATACAACCACAGGTAGTCTTTTGTCACTCTCCTCCTTGTTTTTGGCTTTTTCGCTTCAAAGATATAGTCAGGTGCTTGAGACACTTATGTACTGTAGAATTAAAAACAAGGAATTTGACAACTTTTTAAAAATAATAAAAAGAACAATTAGAATAAGAACACTGCTTTTGTTTTTTAGGTCCTAGTCTAATGATATGTGCCACTTGATAATGGTATGAGCTATGTTCCATTTACCTGTGGAGTTAGCCTTTTTTATTGTGTATGTTCTATATCCTAAGTATTTATAGCCATTTTCTCATTTTTATCTTAACAGCTATGAGATTTTTTTTGGGGGGGGGAGGGGGTCTGGTCATGGGGCCTGAACTCTGGACCTGGACGCTGCCCCTCAGCTCTTCAACTCAAGGCTAGCGCTCTACCACTTGAGCCAAAGCGCCACTTCCGGCTTTTTTCTTTTTGCTTACGTGGTGCTGAGGAATCGAACCCAGGGCCTCATGCATGCAAGGCAAGCGCTCTACCACTGAGCCACCTTCCCAGCCCCAGCTATGCGATTTTTATGTAGATGAAATCACTGAAATTTAAAGGGATCAATTAAATTTGCCACCTTATTTACAAATATGTAGGACTTTGCCGAGGTTTGTTGACAACTACGTTTTTAAACTTTACTCTGTACAATGGTTATAAATAGCTACTGCATCTGATTGGTTATGTATCTGTCCATCTATATTGAATAGAGGAGTAGGAGCTGGAGAATAAAGGGAATCCCAGAAATGGTGAGGGAAATTATAATAGGCTAACTCAGAGGAAGATCAGTGGAAACCAGCTTTCCTAAAGTAACATGTTACTGGGGTGCTTTGTAACATCACTGCTAATGAATTTTAAAGGTACAGTGTAGACATTTGGCATGAATAAGACTATTGCCTCTTAGTGTTTGCTCTGCACATTAAATTATGTCAAAGACCACAAGCTGTGGTTTTCATATCTTGTGTTATGAGCCAGTAGGTGTCCTATCAATGTAAATGGCATTCAGTTCTTATGAATTAGGACATCTAGGCATTATTCAACACCATGCAGATACAGATAATGATTTGTTGAATGTACAACTCATCATTGTGCGAACCACTAAGCAGTCTAACAATGAAGAAGTTCTTTTCTATTCCTAAAGGAGCTTTTGGAACACACAATGCTTCTATTAGATGATTGTAGATACTGTGCAAAGTGGGGAGCTGTTTGTATAATGAAAAAGGAAGTAAAAAACATTTTCTTCATTCTGAAAGAATTTTATGGCCCAGTTTACGCCATTTTATGCCATAATTTTTTTGTTTATTTTGGTGCATGGCTGTGTCCTTGTAGGTTTGTTTACTTATGTGTAAATGTTTTGGCTTAAATGATATTTACACATAAGCAAACCAGTAAAAGCGTTTGGTAGTTTTCAGGTATCTTTGTGCTTCTATTCAGAGCTGTGCTTCATAAAACTTTAAAAAACTTTTTATAATGGTCTGAGTCAAGCACGCATAATATCCCTGCATAAATTGATAGACTAGTATAGATTGTTTTCTCTGATGGAGACACCAAATTTGGATTTTTTTCAAGTGAGTGAATAGTGAGTGGAGATTTGTGTATGCTAAACATCCCAGCAGCTTCTTTTAACTTGTTAACAGGAAATGATTCAGTAGTTTAGCACAAGTCAGTTAAAATCTAGTCTGTTGCCTAGCACCAGTGGCTCATACCTGTAATCCTAGCTACTCAGGAGGCTGAGATCTGAGGATCATGGTTCAAAGCCAGCTTGGGCAGGAAAGTCCCTAAGACTGTTGTTTTTTTTGTCGGTCATGGTGCCTGAACGCAGCCTGAGTGCTTGTCCCTCAGCTTTTCAGCTGAAGTCTAGCACTCTATAACTTGAGCCACAGTACCACTTCCTGTTTTCTGGCTTATAGTGGTGTTGAGGAATCGAACCCAGGGCCTCATGCATGCAAGACAAGCACTCTACCACTCTACCAATGAGCCACCTTCCTAGGCGTCCCCCCGCCCAAGACTCTTACCTCCAGTTGATGACTAGAAAACCAGAAGTGGTGCTGTGGTTCAAGTGGTAGAGTACTTGCCTTCAGCTGAAGAGCTCAGGGACAGTGCCCAGAACCTCCCCCCCCCCCCCCAAAAAAAAAAAAATCTAGTCTGCTTTGGTAAGGATTTGTAGTTTTTAAGCCTACCATCATTTGTCTTTTAATCTTTCACTTCTCTCCAGTGTTTTCATATTGCTTTATCGTGCATTTAGTATTTTTTTTTTAGCATTTTGTAAATTTTCTAATACTATGAACCTAGGAGATTGTTGTTCCAGCCTGGTAACTTAATATAGAAAATGGATATAAGTATAGTTGGATGGATATAAGCTGTAGCTATCACCATAATTGGCTCTTTGCATTTAAGACTTTTTATATGAAGTTACAGTGTATCAAAATATTTCAAATTTTAAAATATTTAAAAAGAAATTATATAACCTCAATATAGTAAACATTGTGACTAAAATTTGATTAAGCAGTTTTCATTTTAATGTATACTACCTATTCTATCAAGTACTGATATGGGGTATAAAATTTTCAATTAAAAATACGGATTTGTCTTTTTCTTAGGTTTTTGCTTCATAAATTCTTAGTTTTGTTGGTAGTGGTCATAGGCCTGGGCCTGAGCACTGTCCCTCAGCTCTTTAGCTCAAGGCTAGCGCTCTACCACTTGAGCCACAGTGCCACTTCCAGTTCTCTGGTAGTTTATTGGAGATAAGAGTCTCATGGACTTTCCTGCACAGGCTGGCTTTGAACTGCAATCTTCAGATCTCAGCCTCTTTAGTAGCTAGGATTTTAGGCGTGAGCTACTGGCGCCTGGTATGTTTCATGAATTTTGAAGCTCATTTATTAACAATACATATGTATCTAGAATTGTATGCCTTCCTGAAGTAATCCCTTTTCTTTCCAAATTACAATCCTTGTAATTTCTCTTGTGCAATTCTCTTGTAATACTCTGCCTTGAAGTCTACCTTAATTAGATGCTCGTGCCAACATCTTACCCTTATCTTTGCTTTTTGCATGGTAATATCTTCTGATTATTTTCAACCTATCTGGTCTTACATTAAAACATAGAACTTAAGTCCAGCTTTTTAATTAACTTTGATAACTTTTGTTTATCCATTGCTGTATTTATTGGTCCAGTTCTACTATATATATTTTATTTTATTTATTTATTTTTTTGGTGGGCCTGGGCACTGTCCCTCAGCTCTTCAGCTCAAGGCTAGCACTCTACCACTTGAGCCACAGCGCCACTTCCGACTTTTTTCTTTTTGCTTATGTGGTGCTGAGGAATCGAACCCAGGGCCTCATGCATGCGAGGCAAGTGCTCTACCACTGAGCCACCTTCCCAGCCCCTACTATGTATATTTTAGACTGTTTAGAATTGCTTTGTAGGCCCCCAAGTCTCGTACATGTTTATATATTCAGTTTGTCTTTGTTCTTCAGATATTTGTGCTCCATTTCACTGACTTCTTTTCTGTTTTCTCTGTAAAACCATTGTAGTGAAATGTTTATTTCATTTACCCTGCTTTTCAGTTATATTATTTTTGAGTTTCTAATTGAACATACATGGAGGAGCTTTTCCTATTTATGTACTTAGTATGAACACCTAGTGTTTATATTCTTACGTAAGTACTTTAGAATTCATATTTATTAGTATTTTAAAGCAGAATTCTATGTCTTTGGGGACATTTTCTATTAATTGTCTTTGTCTTAATAAAATACATTTTCCTTTGCCTCTGTATTAGTTTTTAAATTATGTAACAGACCTTTTGGCTAAAATGGTAAATAATCTGACTTTTGATATTTGTCTTTGAATGGTGTTGATTTTCATTTTAGTAGCTTATTCAGTTTCTTGCCTAATTAGTGCAGGCTTAGTTTTACACTTTCTAAAAGTATAAAAATGTGTTGGAAAGATCAAAGTGTTTCCCAGGTCCTTTTAACTCAGCCTCCAAATTCTGCTCTTTTGATCTTTTAGAGTTTGTCATTAGCTTTTGTAAGTAGGATAGAATAGGACTTTCTTTGGAGTGTGATTGTTTCTTGTAAGATGTCAAATAGATGCCCAGGAATTTAAGCAAGATTTCTTCACTTTTGCTTTACTGGGAATCCAGTGTCCTTCCACTGTGGCTTAATGTCGGGGGTTTCTGTTTGGCTATCAGCCTCATTGCAGTTTCTCCCTAGTAACCTGGGATGATTGATATTTGGTAGCTCAGCCTTTAGCCAGTCACTCCCTTGCAGTTTCTAGGGATCCCATTTGTACTTTTCATGTGCCTTTCATCATCCAGCTGCCTTACTCACCTTGAACTCTAGTGTCTGCCTCCTCAACTCAGCCAGACCACTGTGCTTTGTGCTAGATAACCACTTGTTCTATACTGGTTGAGATGCTGATTTCAAGCTGTTTCTGGGTCATTATGGGAATTACTTGATAATGTTCTCCTCTCTCAGGATTTTAGTCTTGTGCTGTTTATTTTCCAAAACTTGTCAAAACCATTGCTTCATGTTTTATTTTGTTTTGTTTTTTGGTCAGTTGTGGGGCTTTAACTCTGGGCCTGGGTGCTGTTCCTCAGCTCAAGGCAAGCACTCTACCACTTGAGCCACATTCTGGTTTTCTGGTTGTTAATTGGGGATAAGAGTCTCATGGACTTTTCTGCCCGGGCTGGCTTTGAACCATGATCCTCAGATCTCAGCCTCCTTAGTAGCTAGACTTATGGGCATGAGCCACTTGCACCTGGCAACTGTTGCATATTTTCTCCTTGTTTTTCCTATTTATATAGTATTATGCTTTTACTTTTTATTCATTAGGTAAGAATAATTTTCTTTTGCAACTGAAGTTTTTAATAATATAATTCTTTAAAATTAAAGTATTAATTTTTCTGCTTTAAAAAATTCACAGGTTCGTCATAAGGCATCACAGAAGGTTTATGCTATGAAGCTTCTTAGTAAATTTGAAATGATAAAAAGGTCAGATTCTGCTTTTTTCTGGGAAGAAAGAGATATTATGGCCTTTGCCAACAGTCCTTGGGTGGTTCAGGTAAGCATACTAATTTTCATAAACTTATAAACTTACATTCTTTTTTTTAAGTACTGGTTATTCATAGGAGTTTGCTTTGTATGCTGAACATCCTCTGCCTCATTCACATAGTAATAATGTTGTTTTTCATTATGCTTGTTTAATGTTCCTAAATAATACTTGCATAAACATGACATGTAATAATTAAATTCATTATGGAAACAACTTGTAGTGTGTGTGGGTGTGGGTGTGTGGGTGTGGGTGCTGGTTGCTGGTTGCTGGGTGCTGTCTTTTCTTTTAGCTTTTTTTCCTCAATGTTGGCACTCTACCACTTCATCCACAACTCCACTTCCATCTTTTTGGTGGTTATTTGGCGATGAGAGTCTCACAGATTTTCCTGCTTAGTCTGGCTTTGAACTGTGATCTTTACATCTCAGCCTCCTGAGTAGCTGCAATTACAGGCATGAGCCACTGGCACCTGGCTGAGTTTCATTGCTATGTCTTTAAGTTTGCAGATCATTTCTTTAGTGTCTAACTTCATCCCATTCTGTTTTTACTCAGCAAAACTGTTATTTTATTAGTAGTTCATTACTGGGTTGTATTTCATATATGACAGTTCATTCATCTTTTAACTAATTAGGCTGCTTTCAGTTTTCCTCTTTAAAAAATAAAGTTGCATTATTATTTGAGTCAATTGTAAATAAGTTGTTTCTTTGAAGACCTACTTCTTTAAGTTTTGTTAGGGTTAATTTATAGTTACCATTGATGGAAAAATATATAACTTTTTATTGTCATTCTATTGGCTGTATCTGCTCTTATAACTTGTATTAATTATATTGAGGAATATCTTGCATAACATAAAGTTAATTTTTTTTTTTTTTTTTGGGTCTGGTCGTGGGGCCTGAACTCTGGGCCTGGGCACTATCCCTCAGCTCTTCAGCTCAAGGCTAGCACTCTACCACTTGAGCTACAGCGCCACTTCCCGGCTTTTTTTTTTTTCTTTTTGCTTATGTGGTGCTGAGGAATCGAACCCAGGGCCTCAGGCTTGCAAGGCAAGCGCTCTACCACTGAGCCACCTTCCCAGCCCAAGTTAATTTTTTTATGTATACAACTTAATGCTGTTCAGGAAATTTACAGGGATGTATATCCATTATTACAATCAAGATTTCAGAGTGTTTCCATCATTTCAAAATGATTTGCTCATTTCCTGTTATCCTTTTAGCTTCAGACAACCACTAATTTATTCTGTCTTTATAGAGTTGCCATTTCTAGACATTTCATATATAAAGAATCATGAATATGCTATCTTTTGCATCTGGTATCTTTAGCATACTATTTTTAAAGTACATTTACATTCTACATCTATCATACTTAATTTTCTTTTCCTTTTTTTTTTTTTTTTTTGGTGGGTTGTGGGGCTTGAACCCTGGGCCTGGGCGCTGTCCCTGCGCTCTTCAGCTCCAGGCAAGCACTCTACTTCTTGAGCTACAGCACCACTTCTGGTTTTCTAGTGGTTTATTGGAGATCAGTCTCATGGACTTTTCTGCCCAGGCTGGCTTTGAACCGTGATCCTCAGATCTCAGCCTCCTGAGTAGCTAGGATTATAGGCGTGAGCCACCAGCGCCCAGCTTTAATTTTCTTTTGATGCTAGATAATATTCTGTTGCATGATGAGGTATAATAAGGAATGTATCTGGTCTTTTCCCCCACTTTCTGGTGGATAGCTTTAGAAATCTGAAGTTGGTTGTTTTGTGTTTTTGTTTTTTTTTTTTTTGTCGGTTGTGGGGCTTGAACTCTGGGCCTAGGCACTGTTCCTTAGCTCTTAGACAGCAGCACCCTACCACTTGAGCCAAAGTGCCACTTCTGGTTTTCTGAGTGGTTTATTGGAGGTAAGAGTCTCCACGACTTTCCAACCCGGGCTGACTTTCCTGCTGGCTGAAGTTGAACTGTGATCCTCAGATCTCAGCCTTCTGAGTAGCTCAGATTACAGGCTGGGGCTCAAAGTTTTTTGAATGATAGGAATGTTTTGTGGCCTGAGGATTAGAGCTTTCAGCTGCCAGACATTCAGTGAATATAATGGGGTTGGTAATTGACTTTAATGTCTTGACCCATGATTTGTTTAATCATCATGCATGTAATGGGTCTGGACATTGACCTGGTTCGGAGCATACTTTGTAGAGCTGCTCAGAGAGCAATGCATCCTAATTTCACAGGGAGAGGACCCAAAAATCAGGCAGCTGCCAGACTTAGCCCTCAGTGGATCATTTGGGTTTTTTTTGGGTCAAGGCCAGGACTCAAACTCAGTATCTGATGCTTACTTTTGCTCTTTGGCTGACACTCTACCTTCTAAGCTACATCTCCAACCCCCTCTGTGTATCCTTTATAATGAAACTGTAACAGTGCTTTTCTGAATTCTGTGAGTCATCTTAGTGAATTGTGGGAGCCTGAAGAGGTTGTAGGAACCCTTTAGGATGTAGTTAGTCTGTCAGTCAGGAATGGAGATGTGGGGATTCCTGAAGGGCTGATTTCATAAATTTTAACTATTTTAGTTGTAATTTGTCTTTTTCGTTGTTATACTTTTGGTTTTGGTTTATTAATAGGACATTTGGGTTTTGTTCTGTTTGTTGTTTTGTTCTTTGGTTTTTTACTTTTTCCCCTTTTATTTCTGTTTTTCAGCTCTTTTGTGCTTTTCAAGATGATAGGTATCTTTACATGGTAATGGAATACATGCCCGGTGGAGACCTTGTAAACCTTATGAGTAATTATGATGTGCCTGAAAAATGGGCCAAATTTTATACTGCTGAAGTTGTTCTGGCTCTGGATGCAATACACTCCATGGGTTTAATCCACAGAGATGTGAAGCCTGACAACATGCTCTTGGATAAACATGGTCATCTAAAATTAGCAGACTTTGGCACGTGTATGAAAATGGATGAAGTAAGTAAGCAAATAAAATAATACTAGTGTTTTGTTTTTGTCTTTTTTTTTTTTTTTAAATCGGTCATGGGGCTTGAACTCTGTGCCTGGGCCCTGTCCCTGAACTCTTCAGCTCAAGGCTAGTGCTCTACCACTTGAGCCACAGTGCCACTTCCGGTTTTCTGGTGGTTAATTGGAGTCTCATGGACTGCCTGGGCGGGCTTTGAACTGTGATCTTCAGATCTCAGCCTCCTGAGTAGCTAGGATTACAGGCGTGAGCTACCAACACCTGGCTCACAATGCTGTTTTTTTAGAAGCAAGTAAATGCAAATTAGGATTTTGTAGCTTGAATACAAATAAAACCAAATAAAAAAAATTACAGCAATCATTTATTCAGCTATAAAATACTTTATAAGCAGATTTGGCAAATATCAAAGAGATGTAACTTACCTTCCTTATACTATGTAGATAAGAATTTGCTGCCCATCACAACTGATTCATGAACTAAGCATAGAATTAGAGCACAAAATCTAAAATGTAGCTATTGCCACTACCAGTAAAGGAGATAAATGGAAGGAAAGAAATTTATTCTTCCACTTCTCATTCCCTTTGCTTAAACTGTAAAGAATATATTTGGAGGCATAATCTAATGTGATACTTTCACTTATAAAATAATTCATGTTATTAGTAGCTTCAGTAACATTAACCTTATAGCTAATTGTAATAGTTTTGCTTTGATCGTAAAATTTGTTATCATTTTTTGCAAATACTGTAATTCCTAATGGAACAGGATCATTAAAAAAAGTTTTTGGCTTTTTATTTCTTTATTGGATCTAAAAATGACTATATCACAACAGACTAGATATCATTTTTGGTATGGTATTCATAACTTCCAGGACGCTTACACACACACACACACACACACACACACACACACACACACACACACACACACACACACACACACACACACACACACACACACACACACACACACACACACACACACACACACACACACACACTTGTTTAGTCAAGCCAAGTATTTTGCATTAAGATAATTTTCTTCTGGCCACATAACTTATGTCACACTTTGGCATCTACTTTTATTGTTCTTTCAGCAGTCTATTGTTTCTCAAAATCAGCTCAGATTTTGTTTTATCTGGAAAGTTCTCCCTGATAACCTTCTACTGACCTCTTCTACTCACTCTCCTAAGTCATAATGCCCTGGAAAATTTGGAATGCATGGAGTATTCAGAAAGTATGCCTAGAAAGCCATACTTTCTAGGTAATGTGTTTCTAACTTAATCTGTTTGGTTAAAACTTCAAATTCCTTTCCTTTTTGGTGTTCTTCCTGGAGTATGGTACTATGTATTATAACCAGTAATCAATTAGTGTTTGATAAATTGAGGTTTCTTTATTGTTTCCAACACTCCCTTTTATTGTATGTATGTAGTATTTATTTTATGTATGTAGTATAGAATGATTAATAGTGAAAATTACCTATAATGAAAACAAAGTTTGAAATCATTTTCTGATAGAATGCTCAAATTTCCTGTCTGGTATACATAATCTGTGATGCTTATATACTGCACTTCCATGAGTGTATCCTGACTTTAATTAAACCAGTAGCTTTTGGGATAAGGGTGCAAAAAAAAAAAAAATATATATATATATATATACACACACACACATACATGTTTTTTGTTTTTTGGGTTTTTTTTGTCTATCATGGGGCTTGAACTCTGGGCTTAGGTGTGCTCCTTGCGCTCTTCAGCTCAAGGCGAGCACTCTACCGCTTGAGCCACAGCACCACTTCCAGAAGCAAATATTAAAACCAGCAATTGAGACATCTCAGGTTGTCTCTAAAAACAAAATATGGCTTATTAAATTTATTTCTAATTTTTAAAAATTCAAGTAAAGAAATTGAATTAATTATTTTCCTTGGCTTATAATTTATTGTTGTATCTACACAAAGTCCCCAACTATTTATACTTTTTCTGTTCAGTTTCTAATTGTCTTTGTAGTCCTTGAAATCCACCAGTATATCATGTTTAGTATTCCCTTTCACAGAGTATTAGCTTAGTATGCATGTATATTCTTGGTTTATATCTATATATCTATATATCTATCTATATATATAGTATATTAAAATACATAGCATATTGTTTTTATGCCCCTAATAAATGAAAAGTAGTTTATTGCGTCATATTGCTGCTTAGCACTCCACAGTATTTTCCTGAGTTTACTTCTTTATTCCCTGGCATAATACGTCTTTATTCCCCTGGCATAAACTCCTAAGTCACTCCAACTCCCTGCTTGAGTAATACTGTCTTGAACAACATCATACATATTCTGTGTGTGTCCTGGCAAAGTTTTTTCTAAGTTACACCTAGTACTGAGGGGCTGGGCACTGGTGGCTAATACTTAGCTAGCTACTCAGGAAGCTGAGATTGGATGATTGTGGCTCAAAACCAGCCTAGTCCATGAGACAGAAAAGTTTATGAAGCTCCATCTCTAAAAGCACCATTATAAGGCCAGCCTAGAGGCATGGCTCGCATGGCTCAATTGGTAAAGGGCACGTGAGACTGTTAGTCATACCCTAGTGCCCTCAGAAATAAAGAAAGCAAGAAACAAATGCTACTGCTGTAGCGAGTATTGCTTCTGGTATTCCACAATGGCCTCGGTCGTTTAGAACCTCTTCTGGTAGTTCATGAGAGGTCTTTTCTCTCCATGTCTGCAGTAGCTTTCCTACTCTCATATCCAAATGTTACCAAATCCATTTGGTGGAAGTTTTTTTTAAAAACTTCATAAGTAATGATAATTCATAAGTAATGATGTTCATAAATAATGATAATTTCTTCACAGATACTTGTCAGCCATATCACTTTGTTAATTGCTTGTACATCTTTTGATCTTTTTAAGATTGGTTTCTTTTAAAAATTTTTTTTATTATCTTTAAGTGGTTATACAAAAAAGTTCCCATTCTACAAAACGGTATATGAATACAAAAGTGTCTTAAGATTGGCTTCTGATAGGGGGCTTTCTTATATGATCTATGTATAATTCCACATACTGTGGTATTTTCCAGCCTGCCACCCATCTGTCACTGAAGAAGGAATTAACAGTAAGAGAGAAATGTGTAATTTGATGTAGGCAGATGCTTTTAAAATATTGAACTTTAATTAAGTTGTCTTAGCCCATACCTCTATTCCTCAAATAATACTAATAAAAATGATGAGCCGGGTGCCAGTGACTCATGCCTGTAATCCTAGCACAAGAGGCTGAGATCTAAGGATCACGTTTCAAAGCCAGCCTGGGCAGGAAATTCCCTGAGACTCTTATCTCCAGTTAACAGAAAACTGGAAGTGGCACTGTGGCTCAAATGGTAGAGCACTGGTCTTAAGCTAAAGAGCTCTGAGGGACAGCGCCCAGGCCCAGAGTTCAAGCCCCATGACCGACAAAAAAAAAATTATGGCTCCATAATGTTGAAGGATAAGGAAGTTTGTTTCAAAAATTGTATCACATAGAACTTAAAATTTTATGTTAATTGTTAGTATGAATAATGTTATTGCAGATTTTAGGTTTATCACATTGTTTATTGAAGTCACTACAGCAAGGAAGGCTCCAGAAATGTTATAATTTCATTTTCTTCACTTGTGGATAGAATTGGCAGACGAGAGCCTTAGGCCCATATGATGGAGTGTGTTTTGGTTTTGTGTAGCCTATGTGGTAAAAGTGATTTTTGCATTTTACATTTTCAAATTTTTACATTTACTTAAGTAAAATATGACAGGAGCCCTTCGTAGCTCACAAAGCCTACAGTATTATTTTTTTTGCCAGTCATGGGGCCTGAACTCTGGGCCTGGACACTGTCCCTCAGCTCTTCAGCTCAAGGCTAGTGCTCTGCTACTTGAGCCACAGCATCATTCCGGCTTTTTTTGCTTATGTGGTCCTGAGGAATCGAATCTAGGGCCTCATGCATGCAAGGCAAAGCACTCTACCCCTGAGCCACCTTCCCAGCCCCACTACAGTATTTCTGTTCAGCCTTTTATAGGAAAAGTGTGGTAGCCTCTTATCTGTAAATAGGTGCTCAAATAGTTTTTCAGCTATCCTGGCTCCCTATAAAATATTATGTCATGCATAACAGCAAAAAAAAATACAGCTATAAAATTTTCAATTAGAGGGCTAGGAAGGTGGCCCAGTGGTAGAGTGCTTGCCTTGCATTCATGAGGCCCTGGGTTCAATTCCTCAGCACCACATAGCAGAAAAAGCCGGAAGTGGCGCTGTGGCTCAAGTGGTAGAGCGCTAGCCTTGAGCTGAAGAGCTGAGGGACAGTGTCAAGGCCCAGAGTTCAGGCCCCACGACCAATAACAACAACAACAAAATTGCAATTAGAGCCAGGCACCGGTGGCTCACACCTGTAATTCTAGCTACTCAGGAGGCTGGGATCTAAAGATCACGGTTCTAAGCCAGCCTAGGCAGAAAAGTCCATAAGATTCTTAGCTCCAGTTAACCACCAGAAAACAGGAAGTGGCACTGTGGCTCAAATGGTAGAGCGCTAGGAGTGTTGAGCATAAAAGCCAAGGGACAGTGCCCAGGCCCTCAGTTCAAGCCCCACACTGACAAAACAGCAAAACAACAACTTTAAATTAGAAGGACTAAAATAATTCGTTACTGTTATTATTAATCATAAAGATATCTTACTAAGTTCTGTCTAATAAATTGTTTTCTGAATGTTCTCCCTTTTTCTCAAAAAATAAAACATTTTTGAATGTGAGTTATATTGTATATCTCAATGTGTCTCAGTTACTGCTGAGAAATGCTGTTTTAAATGACTTGCATGCAAATAAATGGACATGTTAAATTGAACCCCCTTGTACAACCCCCTTGTACAACCATGTGAAGTTAAAAAAAATCCAAAGTAACAGTTGTTGTTGTCAGTGGTGGTGCTTGAACTCAGGGCCTGGGTGCTGTCCCTGAGTGCTTTTGCTCAAGGCTAGCTCTCTACCACTTTGAGC